TTCCCTACAATTTCCCTTACAAAATGTCTTTCCCCTTAAGTCTGGAATAAGTGGCTAAACGCAGATAGCTAACATCAATTCAGAGGTTTAAAAATGTCCAGTTCTTTGAAGGTGCTCATTATTACAATTCATTTTCCATTTTCAAGTAGTTCCAGTTTTAGAGAAAGTCTGTAAGTAAAGTTTGGATAATTTATCCAAATATAAATTTTATACAGTCTTTATATACAGTCTTTATACAGTCTATCAAAAATTTTGTAAGAAAAAACTTTCTGGAAGTTAGAACATTAGAAAAGATGAGAGCACCATTCACTGATAAAAGGATGATGGACAGTGTCCATTGGTTTGGCTACTTTTCCAAGCAGTTCCTGTTAGATATTAGAGAATTTAAGGTAGCAGTCAAAATGGAGCCTTCATTTAGTTTTAGGTTCTCATGATTTATTTGTTGAACTTTATAAAGTTTCCTGGCTGACTTTATGAATAAATTTGTTTTTACTAATGTGTCAACTACATTTTGGATCAGGTTCCCCCTCCACACTGGATCAGAAAGTCACTGAATGGTTTTTTAGTCTTTTTGTCAAACAGTATGTCTCTGATGAGTACTTAACAGTGAGAAAGAAAGTCGGGGGAGATTCCAGCCCTCCTGCAATCAACAGCTTGGGGGAGATATGAAGTACTGAGAGAAACCAGAGAATAACATTTGGGGGGATGATAGATTTCGAATTTGAAGATTCAGATTCAGTAATTCATGAGAGACTCTCAAGCCCATGCCACCGCAGTCTGTGAGTTCGCTGAGGCCCCTGTGCTCAAATGTATTGTAAATGGCAAGTGAACCTCAGCAACTGCCAGGCAGCCCACTCATGCCATCTTTGTTGTACTTGTTGTACTTGTAACAACAAGTGTACTTGTAAGGTAGAAAGGGGGGAGCTTAAATAGTATAGTTGCACCTCCCTGCTTTATTTGGAGGAACTTATATGCTCTAATGGCATTGGAGAACTCTTTTAATTTGTCTCTTGCAAAATTCAAGGGGCTACTTTTTAAGATCAGGTTCTAGAATAACTCAGTGCTGTTCAAGAGAATTTTCTGCAATGATGGAAATTTTCTATAATCTGTGTTGTCTGATATGGTAGCCAACAGCAGAATGTAGCTGTTGAGCACTGGAAATGTGACTAGTGCCACTGAGGAATTGAATTTTTAATTTCAAGTTATTTTAAAATTAAATAGCCACACGTGTCTAATGGCCACTGTATTGGATACTGCGGTTCTAGATTATGTGGTTTTGACTGTAACTGCTATCTTTTGAGGTGGGTATTGTGACCGTAGCGAAGTTTGAGAGAACAAAATAAGACCTGTGTTCGGTATTAGAATAATGTCACAGAAAATGAAAATGAGCCTGTCAGATTGAGGTGGGCACAATGTGGAATCCCTCTTCTGCTGAATGGAACCTGCAGTCTATCACAGCCTTTTGTAGGGACTTGGCTTTGTGCCCACTGACCATTTTAGATCTTCAGAAGCATACAACCATGTGGGCCTGTAGCCCGTTTTATTATAGGTACTCAGCCTTTCTGAAGTATCGTAAATCATGAGTCAGAGCATTTCAGTATATCAAATACTCTTATCCCTGATTTAAATCTATTATAGTAACTATCAGAAGACTTTAGAGCTGGAAGAATCTTAGAGATTGGTTCACGCTTCTCCCCTATTGGAGAAGTGAGGAAACAGGTGCAGGGGAGTTGCAGAATAGGCCATGGTAAGTGGCAGAGCTAAGATTAGAACCCAAGATCGACTTTGAAACCAGTTCTTTCCCTCTACAATCCCAAAAACAGCTGCGCAAAGACTGGATTTGCCTCTGGGTAGGTGTCAAGCCAAAAGACACTACCAAACCAAAGAGCAGGAGAAGGAAGGATTTATTACCTGCAGCAAGTAAAGAGAACACCGAAGATATTTCCCAAAGTAGTATGTCCCTGAACAGCAAAATCGGGAAAGTTTTAAGCTAAGGGTGCATGCATATTTATGAAGGGGCTTGGGCATTGTATGCATATTCACAGAGGAGAATTCAGTGTAGAAGTGGGGCAAAGACTGACAGAGTCCTAGCTCTAGTTGACTGAAATCAATAAAGGTCAGCATGATCATTCCTTAGGTTCCAGTTAGTCGGGTGGTTGAGTGCTTGAGGGAGTTTTGGATCCTGCAGAATAGCTCAAGAATATGCTTCAGACTGACCTTTATATTTGAAACAGAACTGGGAGTCGTTACAACTGATTTATTGTCTCCAATATGGTTATTTTCTGGCCTGATCAAGAGCAAGCATTGTGGCCAGACTTAGATCACAAAATGGCTTAGGCCTAAAATGGCTTCTCTTATGTCAAGAAAGATATGTCTGGTTCTCTTCCTCTGGGGGACCCCCACCCTATCTACCTATACTAGTGTTCTTAACCCACAAAGATCAAAGGGCTCAAGTCAGGTTAGTTTGGGCACCAGTCTGCTTTATTTTGATGCACTATATTGATTGGTAGGAAGAACAATGCTGCCTCCCCACTTC